ATGCACAACCGGTGTAGACGAGTCATCCAAGTGTCCAGGTAAGTAAGTTTTATTGATTGCAGAATATAGAAGTGGAGCGATTGATTCTTGTTTGATACTAAGCTTGTTGGTGTGTGTATGTAGCGCAGTGGTTAAAGGTGCTCCACAATGTGCATGTGGTCGTTACTTCATGCTCGCTTACCTAATTGGCTAACAAAGGCTCTCAGATGTCTGACAGGGCGGAAAGCACTAGCTTAATGGGTCAATAGACCGTTGGAAGTAACTCGATTGGCCAAATACGCACCCACGTGCCCCTACGATGCCATTAATGGCGTCCAGGGTATGGCGAGTAGCTATTGATTGACCTACGCTAAAAGCTTTGTTTATTTTGCTTTTTTTTATGATGCTCGCCGAAATAAACGAATTTTTCGAATAGATTCATAGGGACACAGTTATACTCTAAATTTCTGCTACTTCTTCATACTATTTCATTCTACATGTAGTGGAATGAATTTGTTTCATATAGAGAAACACGAAAAAATATGTGGGTTAGCCTATTTCGTCGAAGTAATTTTTTTAAAGGGGACGGATAGCACAGTGGCAGTGGTGACCGTCATCACGAGCATGGTGCCAGTTCAGTTCCGCACCGGGCCAGCCTAGCCTCTCATCCCTCCAGGATCGGGAACTTGATACCGGACTTGTTGGGAAAAAAATCACTCTCTTCAATCTAATTGGGAATGCTCCAGCCCGGTTACCTTAGGTCTCCAGGGAGAATTGCTCAACCATCATTCTACGACATTCAAGATGAAATGAAAATCCTCAAGCAGCAACCGAAACCACACCTGAAGTTGGAAGATCTTCATAGACAGTGGATGCGAGGAAACGAATTGAATGAGAGAAGTGCTGAGATACGCACCGTAGACGTGAAGACGGGTCATATAGAATAAAATGAATGAAAAGTAAAATACTTTTTTGTAAAAAAATAACTTTCTTAAAGTGTGTTGCTAATTCATTTCAGTCGTACCGCACCACTTGTAATCAGTCAGGTTACTCAAACCCAAATGGGCGTAAGAGGCTCTTTCGATGGAGGAACAGTGAGGAGAGAGATATGGGACATTAAACTTTTCGTATAAGCTTCTTAATTTTTCTTCCAGTCTATACGAGTAGATGTTTGTCATTTCTAGCTAGCTAGACAATATTGTAACATAGATTGATTCGTAGCTAGGCTTTCGTGTAGAGTGGAACACCCTCTTCATCTAGGCAAGTCCAGTGGCGGCAACAATGGCTCTGGTGACGTAATTGGAAATCGAAGAACACCTTGCAACCACAGTGCTGCGGTAAACCATCGCAAGCTCAAAATGAATGGTTGAAATGACTTCTATGAGGAAAGTAAAACAGAACTTCCACATGACGAAGTTTCGATTAACACATCTAAAATGTCCTCTTCGGTTTTTGCACTACTTGAGTTAATGTTTTAAATGGATCGTCTGAAGTTGCAAAAATTTTATAGGCTTTGAAGAGTTTTATCAATGGCTATAGAATATTGATTAGTAGGAGATTAACTTTTCTTTTACTGAAATGTACTATGAAGGACACGTGGGAATCATATTTTAATCTCTGTGTAGACTACAAAAGGCTGGAACGCTGTGCAAAGTGATGTTATCGACTGACTGGCTGGTTTCCCATAGAAAGCTAAACAAGTCGTTCGAGTCTACTTTTTTTTGTTCTGAGAATTTTTTTATTCCCAAGACCGACTTTCTGTTAAGCTCGGCATTGATTGATAATTCGATGTTTTTCTTCAATAAGCAGACACGAGGTTGCTATCATAGAATTTATTAGGATACAATAGCTGACGATTCGGCGGTTCGCATGGGCGCGTCGTTCTCCTTGTAAACTTATCTCATGGGGTTACTTCGTAGCCATTGGAGATGGCTATTTGCCGAGCCAAGTCCCGCGATTCTTCCTTTAGTTCCCTGGTAGTGCACACAGAGGTGGCTGTTCGAAACATGTTTCTCACAATCGCCCTCTTTGTGTGTGAAACACTTGGCCAAAACAAAATCCCGTTTATGTTGCCTTTTATAAGCGATGAAGTAAGCGCAGCTATAAAACGATGCTTAAGAAGGGCAAGTCTAGAGGAATCGGTAGCGATAGTTGAAATACCACCGACTACTCTACGTCGCCAATTAGTTCGCAACCGCCTGTATGACTGTCTGTGTGAAACAACAAATTGCGTAATTTGCCCTTACGGCAGGGACGGTGATTGCATGAGTTCAGGTACGATATACCTGATCTCTTGTAACAATTGCGGAGACGAATATATTGGCGAAACGGGCAGACCTTTGTGTATCCGTATAAAAGAACACCTAGATGGCAAACGAAAACTAAGACGAAGCACCCCACTAGGCACGCATAGGATACAAAAGCATAGCGGAGACGATTTTGAAGTAAAAGTCAACATCCTTGCACAGGAGTCCAAAACACCAGCGCGAAAACTCCTTGAGGCTTTTTGGATAAGTGGCAAAAACCCTACAATGAATAGCAGGGGCGAATGCCCGGAGGTCATACGCGACCTGACTCCTTATGTTCGCATCGATTTTTGATGTGGGATGGTGCAGTCGTCAACCACATGCGACTATAATCAGCTGTTCTAAACTTCCTCATTGGAAGTCACGAAAAAGCGGTGGGTTTTTTCGAGAAGTTATTGATCATGTAATTACCAGAGAGTCTTTCGTCTTTTGTAAGTGTTATTGAAGCGTTTGGCCTAGTAGATTGTATATCAGTATACCCTTCCAGGCTCTGAAGAAGGCGATACTGCCGAAACGTCAGCTAGCGTTGTATTGTATTGTGTTTTTTATGGAAGTAAATGTATGCTGTTTAAAAACCTCGCGATTGCTGAACAAAAAAATAAATTTGTATTGGCATAAGAAACAGCTTCATTTAAACACCTACCGTTTATTTGTTGTGTTTAGGCTAGTTGGTGGATAGAAGCCGCACAGAGTAATACATGGGCGAAGACTGTGTCTGTGTCAGGTCATTGGATTAGCCCGAGGTATGGAGGGTAAAATTTCCGAGGTAAGCCCGAGGTAAAATTTCTCTGCTTCGAAGCACGATTCCTTTAGGAAGGAATCGCCGTGGATTCTCTTTGAGGTAATTCCACTGGTGTAACAGAAGCACTGGAGAAAAAATTCGGAGCGTCCACAAACAAGCAAAAAAAAGAAGTCAACCAGAGATTTGAGGTACCATCAACACACTCTATCCTTCCATTCGTTTCCTGGACCACCATCTACGACTTTGGCTGGGAATTCCAAATGAAATTGATGGGTAACGGGGCAAATTTGAACAAATCAGTTTCTAAATTCTATTCTGAAAAAGGGGTTCAATAATTTATCTTCCGAATTAACTGTACATCATTGCTTCCAAGGCTTTACGGTGATTGCTTTAAGGAGACAAACCAGCCGACTCTCCGAGGAGATCGACAACACCGCTCCGACAAAAGGAGTGATGCATAAGAAAGCCAAAATCTCAAAATCGAGGATGGGTATCTTCTATGTCTTCAATACATCATGTTAGAACAACGATAAAAGACAAGTTATACCGTCTTGATTAGAAACTTTCGGAGTGCCATACAATCGAGCCTACTTATCGGATAGTTCTGTTCTTTTGAACTGACGGTGCAGAATGCCGCTGGTGAAACACAAGGATGCAATTCCTCTAGTGTGCCGATGCATCGATCGTGCAGAGTACCGCCTGTGAACCACGAAAATGCAACAACGTTGTGGCACCGTTGCATCGACGTCGCAGTGCCGCCTTTGAGGAACAAGGATGTAATGTCGTTGCGGCACCTTTGCATCGACGTTGCAGAGAACAGCCTGTGGAGCACGGGATCTGCCATGCAATGATGAAATCAGAGAACTCCACTCCAATGGTACTAATCAATAGAACTAGCTGAGAGACAGGGGAAACGAAGATTCTGCATGGTGTGGTGGTGAATGCGTTAGCCTCTGGAAAGGGAAATAGTGCACCGCAGACACTTGCAGTCCGTAGTTTCGCAAATATCTCAGCATATCTCAATCTAAATTAAAACCAAACATTCCACTAGGCGCGCATAGAGTGCAGGGACACCACAGAGATTTTGAAGTAGGAGTCACTATACTCACGCACGAATCGAAGGCATCAGCGCGTAAAACTCTTGAAGCGTTTTTGATCAATTCCAAAAATTCAAAAATGAACCGCAAGGAGGAGTGTGTTGTCATCACGCGTGACCTGGCGCCATACCTCAGGCTAGTCCAATGACCTGACACAGGCACAGTTCTAGCCAATTTGTTACTCTGTGGGGCTGCTATCCATCAACTAACTTAAATACTTACAACAAATAAACGGTAGGTGTTTAAATCAAGTTGTTTCTTATGCGAATACAAATTTATTTCTTAAGTTTTATCTGCTGGAGTTATGAAAGTGTTTGGCTGAGTAGATCGCATCTCAATTTGATCTTTCCAGGCTCTGAAGAAGGCGAAACCGCCGAAACTTCATCTATTGTATCCTAATAAATTCTATAATAATAACCTCGTGTCTGCTTATTGAAGAAAAACGTCAATTTTTTTATTGTTTAAACGGTCGAGAAAACATAAAATTTCTCTTATACGTTTAAATGATGTGTATTGATTGACATATAATACATTACATGTTTTTGTTTGTATTGTTGCTTTAAAACATGCAGGAGCAGGAAAAGGAAACTCGTCCAAAACATAAGCGTGCATTGTTTGTTTTCCTTCTTTACGTGTTAGTATTCAAACGTGAGACAAATCGCCTACAGTTATTGTGGATGGAAATAACAGAAGGGCGTTGTTGTGTCTTTGAATGTCACCATATTCTGGTTTTATATGGTGCAAATTCGTCAGATGGGTTAACACAAATTTAGCTCATACCATGTTTGCCATATCGAATCAACTTCATGCAGCAATGCAGTTCATCATTTATTCCTTATATAATGTTGTTTTTCATGCTGAACATCGTACGAGAAAGCGCTAAGTTATTGGCAGAACAAGTAGAAGTACTTACAGTAGCTTACGAATAGTCAACGCTTTTTTTCTGCGAGTTCTTGACTATTCAAGTTTTATATGGTTAGAAAGAAAATTTCATAGGAAGGAAAGAGTGTACTATCGCTATTTTAGAATGCCAGTGATGTTCACGTCAACACCATCATCAGCGACACCAACAGTTTCATATCAGATTAAGGAAAAAACTCCGACGACTGGCGAAGCGATTTGTGCAGTATGTGGCGATGGTCATGCAAAACTGCACTACGGTGTAAGCACAGATTAGTAGCATGCTTTATTCATTTCTCGTTTGTGAATGAAAAACAATTTGACAGGTGCAATAGGAAACTTGTAGACTAAAATATTCATGAGTTAGGCACTTTTAAAAGTAAGAAAAAGGAACCTAATTACATACTGTATCGATACTGCAGCCCTTATTAATAGGATGGCCGTATGAACTGAGTGCATTTATTGATTATTTTGGTAGATCAATGAAATATGTGTCGACTTTCGTACTATATCCTTTAACTGATTCCGTCCCGTATGGGCACAATAGTGTTTATAGCGGAGCGGACCAAACGACCGTATAGATACTGTAGGGTACATGTTCAGTTTAGTGGACTACGGGTTTTTTCTGCACTATTATTTATTGTTCTTTGTTCACGATTAAGCTGACGTTTCGGCGAATTTCGCCTTCTTCAGAGCCGCTTTCTATGAGGTCTCAACTAAGTATGTCACGTAGAGACACGTGATTACTTCCACGTGATTTCTGTGCGGTTGGTCTCTACGTGACATACTTAGTTGAGACCTCATAGAAAGCGGCCCTGAAGAAGGCGAAATTCGCCGAAACGTCAGCTTAATCGTGAACAAAGAACAGTAACACCGCGCGTTTGCTCAAAAAATACGAACAAAATCACTTGATCAATGCCGAGGTTAATAGAAAGTCGGTCGTGGCAGTTACTATTATTTATATTTTTCGGCAGTTGATCGAAAGTAGGTCAAAGTGAGAGGGGTAGGATAAGAAAGATCTTTGACTATACCAGATGGTTTGCAAAATATCTTTACCCGAAAAGTCCATCGACAGGTTGTTTGACTAAGAGTTCATTGTTACTTCATTTTAATTGCTATGGTTATTGTGTAGAATGTGCGGATATCCAAAGTGCCGATATTGAGTCAAAATTGGTGCAAAATACCTCTAAGTGCTGCCAGAAAGCGTTTGTAATATGGAACATAGTAATGCATAGTAAATTGAAGCATGCATATCAGTCGTACTCATAGAACGATAAAGCAAACTCTCTTCTACAATCTAATCCCCTTAGCAACCCCTCAGGTCCTTTAGTAATTGAGAACAGGTTTTTTATGAATATATTTTATATTGTTGAGCTTACACGTGGTAGATGAACAACTGTTATTCGGCTTACGTCTCGACGTCTTCCTCTTCATTAGAGCCGATGATCCGAGTCGATGGTACACATCTGCTCTTCTTCTCGATGTGGCGTCTTCGTAATCGCACCGAGACGGACCTTTTTATTGTCAAAAAACCAGAAAGTCTGCAGCCGACAAAGAATTGCTCGTATTCGATTGGGCCAACCACGAAAAACGCCGGAGGGACAGAACAATTTAATGCGTAAACTTAATTATTTTAGACTTGAATGGCCCGTCTTCACTGGTTGTGCGGGCCCCAGCATAATCACCATTTTTCGGAGATTTGCTGGTTGAGCCATTGTGGTTCCCTGGAATGCCGAGGCCAGCCTGGCCAAAGTCTGCCCCAGGTCTTCCCTACCGCAGGCAGTTGCAGCACTTGTGGATCGGAGGGAGATTTACCACCATGCGATTTTGATACCAGCACGGTGGTGGATCCTGGTATTGGTTTACTCTTAGCTAGGTTTCCTGATGGAAACGCCGGATTCCTCAGTTTGGGAAACGCTGCTGTATATCGCAGTCCAACACCAAGTAACACCCTCCCAGCCACGATGAGGCGGTAAACCATTGGGAGGTAATGCGTAAAAGCAGTGAAAAATGTCAACTCTGGTTCCTCATTTAATACCATATTATCATTATTTTGTATAATGCTCGCAAATCCCTTTTTTAAATGCTTCTCCCGCCATTTTCACCCTTTCTCCGTAAGTCCCAATGCTTTTTTCCTCATGTAGAATTCTACGCCTACTTAATATTTGCAAAACTGGTCTCAACGAGGTGCAGGAAATGGAACCCACCACAATTTTTAGTCAACTGGCGTTATTTCTGTAGTTGAAGGAGGATTTTGAAATTATCACGCTAGTGTTTTCTGAGGTGATTATCACAGATGGTAGTCAGTTCTTGTGAAACGAATTGAGGTATGCCGCCTGACAATGTTGTATGGCTTCTTCTAGGTAAGCTGCGATTGCTGCCGTAGGTTAGCTCTTAGCCGAATTTGTGATTGGAAATGTCGAACTCCATCTGAACTCGGACGATGGTGCTATAGGAATGAAGATTTTGCTATACGTCGGAGTTATTTTTTCGGAAAACGCCTCCACCATGTTCATGACTTCAACCTAGCAAGAAGGGCTATTACAAAATAGCGTGATAAAGCAAAATTGGTCTGGTTCTATTTTATTTCTGTTAAAAGGTTTTATTGTTTCTGGTGCTAATAATGATGAATAAATGAGGTGGAAAAGGGAGATTATTAGCCCCCGTTTAACTATCTGTTTTCGAAATCTCGTTAAGAATTCACAGCAATAGTCGTAATCGACCATTAGAAGGAATCAAATTTCTGCAGAATGCCTCGTTTCTTTTTTCTCTTTTGGTTAGACAACACGTCTAAATCGATAATTTTGTTTCGTCCTGATGTGATATCCCAATCAATAATCACTACTAATCGATTGCAGGTTCTGGCGTGCTATGGTTGTAAAGGATTTTTCCGTCGAACATTAACAGGGAAATACCGTTATGCATGCCGTTTTGGTAACAATTGCGTCGTCGACAAATGTAAGTAGCTTAAGAGAAAAATGCAGTACGGGAACTTTTGTTCTCTTCTTGACTATTTTTATGACCTTTTCTTTCCACGATCTCAAACTATACGTGTTCGATTCAATTTACGATAACGTCTTTAGCCTGGCAGTCAAATATCTTCTTGGTTTTCTACGAAAACGAACTTTGGTCAAGTGAACAAAACAACATTCCTTTCATTTTTTACATAGAAAGACCCTAGAACTAGTTCGTCAATAATTTATGTGCACTTTTTATTTATAATAAATGATCGATGGTGAACAGAAAAAATTCCTTCTTTTCTTCTTGTTCTTTTTTTTCTATTCCTACTAATTTATTCTATTCTGTTCTTTTATTCCGAATTTTTTTCTTTTATGTGACCCGTCTTCACGTCTGCCGTGCGGATCCCAGCACTTATCAAATTGGATTCGTTTCCTCGCAACCATTACCCGTGAAGATCTTCCAATTTCTACGTGCGACTTCGACTAGGCAACTGCTTGAAGATTTTCTGTTTCATTTTGAATGTCATAGAACGCTCGTCAAGTCGATTCTCAATGGAGTCCTGAGATACCCGGCCTAGAGCGCTCCCAATTGGATTGGAGAGAGTGATTTTTTACCGGACAAGTCTGACACCAATTTCGCGACCTCGGAGGGATGAGAAACTTGGTTGCTCTATGGAATGGAATCGAACGGGCACCATGCTCCTGATTACCGACATTGTTACCACTGTGCTATGCGCTCCTTTTCGTTCTAAATTAGTTGTTCCAATTTCTGAAAGGTTCTTCATATCAAAATCAATCGCCTACTTCTGCACATTTAGGCGCACTACGTGCTGAATAACCTTCAAAAATAAATCTATGACGATTTTTAACACGGTTTTATGTATGTATATCTTTTTAAGGGGTCTATTTAACGCAATGGTCGGAGATGCTCTGCAATACACAAAAGATCGTTCCCCACGCACCAAGCCCACCAATCCCTCCATCTTTCAGGGGTCGGCAAATTGGTATCAGACTTGTGTGGGAGGATAACAGCTGGATGCATCGGTAGGCCACTGCGAGTCATTGTGAAGTCCAGATATGCATTCAATCACCTCTAACGGTGCTTATTAAAGTCGAATGCGTGACGCATCCCTCATTGACAAATCAACGCGGAAAGCTTTACACTTATTTAGCTTTCTTTCTTTTTGTATATTTCATGAAGTTGTCATCCCAAGGTTCGCCTGTGTACTGCTGTTGATTTCGATTTTTGATCTGTCGAGTTTCATTGGCTGCATCTCTGCACAATTGTAAACCGAGCAGATAATTTGATAAGCGTTTATCTTTTTTATTCTTTCCTCTTTCTAATCAACACTGTGATAGCCGGCATCGCACAAAAAGGGACAGTAAAGGGGGATTAGGAACGTTGTTTCCATTGAGCATATAAATCTCAGTCCGATGTTAACACTTTCACGATTTCATGATCTTTATAGGAGTTATGGGATATTAGGAATCGGGACTGCTTTGAACTTTGGATCAGAAATCTCTGCTCTGCTAGTGAATTTAATTAATTACAGTAAATTAGGTGCAACTAATTAGCTAATTATACTAAGAACGGATGGAAGAATTAACACTTGTATCACCTATAGTTCCGTTGATCGTCGAATGATTCTGGAGGGCGCTAGTAAATCTGCCATTTTTCCGTCGCGTGCAATAGTAGCCCAGTGGGTTCTGCTCGCTCTAGGGACTCTTCGAGCAATCATATTTTTCTTTAAGCCTCTTTGTGAAAAACTATAACCATCGGGTCGGTGGTCTTCCTGCAGTACGTTTGACATGCCGAAGAATCCAGTCACCAACGGCTCTTGTCCATCGGTTGTCATTCATACACATTACGTGTCCGGCCCACCTTATCTTCGATTGTTTGGCATACAGAACGGTATCTTTGATTTTTGATCGTTGACACAGGTCGGAGCTTCGGATCCCATCCCTTATTTGTGTGGAACGAGATACTCCTAGCATCGTCCGGCTGCGTATTCGATAACGCTGATGGGGCATGCGAAACAAATCCGTTTTTCAAGAACATCGTTTTTGTGAGATTTAGTCGAGGACCAAATCGTTCTACAGACTTTATCAAAGTCGGTAAGCATACTTTTCGCTTGGCTGACGTTTGGGGTTATAAGGACGATGTTATTAGCAAAGCGAAGATGGTGTAACTGCCGACCATTGAGTTTCACTCCCATATTATCCCATTCCAATGTCAGCATGACGTTCTGGAGGGTGGTTGTAAATAATTTTGGCGAGATGATATGGACTTTCTATTAACCTCGGCATTGGAATATGAATGCGTCGTTTTTTTGTTCAGCAATCGCGAGGTTTTTAAACAGCATACATTTGCTTCCATAGAGAAACACAATACAATACAGCACTAGCTGACGTTTCGGCAGTATCGCCTTCTTCAGAGTCTGGAAGGGTATACTGATATGCAATCTACTAGGCCAAACGCTTCAATAACACTTACAAAAAGACGAAAAACTCTAAGGTAATTACATGATCAACAGCTTTTCGAAAAACCTCTTTTTTCGTGACTTCCAATGAGGAAGTTTGGAACCGCTGATTATAGTCGCATATGGTTGATGGCTGCACCATCCCAAATCAGAAATCGATGCGAACATACGGGATCAGGTCGCTATGACCTCCGGGCGTTCATCCCTGCTATACATTGTAGGGTTTTCGGCATTTATCCAAAAAACCCCAAAAAGTTTTCGCGCTGGTGTTTCAGACTCCTGTGCAAGTGCACTTTTATTTGCATCGATTTTTGATGTCGGATGGTGCAGTCATCAACCATATGCGACTATAATCAGCGGTTCTAAACTTCCTCATTGGGAGTCACGAAAAAGCGGTGGGTTTTTTCGAGAAGTTGTTGATCATGTAATTACCATAGAGTTTTTCGTCTTTTTGTAAGTGTTATTGAAGCGTTTGGCCTAGTAGATTGCATATCAGTATACCCTTCCAGGCTCTGAAGAAGGTGATACTGCCGAAACGTCAGCTAGTGTTGTATTATATTGTGTTTCTCTATGGGAGCAAATGTATGCTGTTTAAAAACCTCGAGATTGCTGAACATGAAAACTACTTCGTCTAGTGTTCTGTCAATCCTTTTTAGGATGAGTCAGCTGGAAAGTTTGTAGACGACAAGCAGCAAACAGATTGGGCGATAGCTGCCGATATCGTGTAGGTCACCCTTCTTGAACAATAACATGGTCTTGTTGGTCTTCCACTGAGTAGAGACCTTGAATTCAGACAGGTAACTTATGAACAGCCCAGCCAGTGTGTTAACGAGGACTGGCGGAAGGTTCTTCAGGTGTTCTGGTATTATCTTGTCCGGACCTGGTGCTGTTCGATTTTTCACCTACGAAATGGCATGTCGGATTTCGTAAGGGAGTACCGGTAGTACAACATATCCATCTTCGTTTATTCCATATAACGGAAAGTGGACGTGGCTATCGAAGAGATCTGAGTAGTATTCTTGAATGATTTTCTCCATGGTATTTTTGGACGCTCTAACTATTCTGTCCGGGCGTCGGAGTGCAACCATCTTGGTCTTGTAATTCCCAAAGCTTCGGTGGGCTCTGCGAATGCTTTTCCCAGCATCTGCAGCTTCGACCATTACTGCCGCTCTTTTCTCTTTAAGATCTTCTTTTATTGCCTGTCCGCATTGTTTTGCAAGTTCGGACGTTAGTTCGCGGCTGCCTGCAGCTCGTGCGGTTCCACGCTGGCGTATCAGCTCGAATGTTTTTGGAGACAAGCGTCTCTTGGTGTCTTTTGAACTCTCAGCTTTCATAGCGCTAATGTGAGGTTGTTGAATGAGCCGATCGTATTCTTTGTTGGTGTTACCGACAACGGCATTTTCCCAACAGCCGAGTAATGAATTGAATGAGTCCCAGTTTGCGGTGGTTCTGAGGCTTCGGTTTTGGAATTTAGGGGGTTTTTGTCCCTTCTGCGAGAAATAGAATCTTGCACGAAAGGGAGTATGGTCTGATCCCGTGTAGGATTTTGGGATCGCAGCGACATCGTTTAGGCAAAGCCTTCTATTTACTATGGTGTGTTCTATTTCGTTATTTCCCTCATATGACGGAGATCCGTGAATAAAAGAATTAAAATGCAAAAATCTTAGTTCATAGTATAAATGTTTTTTTTTCTACCAATGAGATCCTGATTTCGTGAGACCCAATATATATTCCTCCCATTTCTTTTCTCCAAGGATCATATTTCGAACGCGCAAGTAATGAGCAAGCTGAATCCTGTCCAGTAGGACACCATGGTGTCGCGAGTGTATTGAAAGATATTCTTTGAAGATTATCCATGTGATTGATGCAATGTTGTTCGGAAGCTAAAGCGGAATTTGTACTTTTGTTTTTCTTGCAGATATCCTAAAAGTCGTTCCATTCGAACGTGCGGTGTTATATACTTACCTGATTGGATATTTGGATGGGCCCGTCTTCACTAGTTGTGCGGACCCCATCAAAATTTTCCTTTTTTCGGAATTTTGCTAGTTTAGTTATTGTCGTTCCTTGGAGTTCCGTGGTCAGTCTAGTCAAAGTCTGCCTCAGGTCTTCACCACCACAGTCAGTTGTCGATCTTGTGGATCAGATGGAGATTTGCCACCATGCGACTAGTTTGATACTAGGACTGTGGTGAACCCTGTTGGTTTACTCTTAGCTGGTCTTCCCGATAGAAACACCGGACTCCTTTCCAGCTTCGGGTGACGAAACCCTCCGCTGTACATCGCAACCCGACACCCAGGCTCACATCCACAATGAGGCGGTAAATTCTTGGGATATATAATATATATATATCGGCAGAAAGCTGATTTTATGCACTTTCGCTGTTTATTAGTTGATATGCAGTATAAATCGTATTTCTAACAAATTTTACGGGTTAGAAATTGAGATGTCTTAATTGTGTAAATGTTCTTGCGAATATCTTACCCAGTTGGCACTTACTATGAGCCGTGTTAAGTGTGCCACATGCTT